GATCCTTAAGCTCTGTGTTTATTCAGATTGTAGCAAACATATTGAAAGTTTAAGTACTAACATTTAAATATAAAATATTTAAAGAATTTAGTGTGTGTGTGTGTCTGTCTGTCTGTCTGTCTGTCTGTCTGTCTGTGGGGAGGGACCATGCACCATGGAGCACAGATGCAGGTAAGAAGACAATGAGTCTGTTCTCTGCCTTCACCACGATGGTTTTGGAATCAAACTCAGGTTGAGGGGCAAGCATCATTCCCTGCTGAGCCATCTTGATGGCACCTAAAGTGCATGTCTTGTTCAAAGTAGAACTTTTGCTCTGGCAGAGAGTTTAGAGGTAGGGAATGTAAACCTTTATTTTATGAAGGAAGAACTGGATTCCCTCAAGAGCTGGCATCAGTGGTGTGCATGGTCAGGAGTGCAGCTCTCTCATCTTTCACTCTCTGTCTTCTCTACTCGACCAAGCTTCCCCAGGTGAACTGCCTGCCTTCTAGAATCATCTAGACCCTCTAATTGACCTTATGTCAACAACTACCCCAACTGAACTGCCGCTGAGGGGGCAAATAAACATAACCTGTCCTGTCGAGATTTCCTGCTGAATTTCTAGTCCAGCAGAGTTTGGAGGGTTGGATCATGGGTCTTTCTGCAGGGCATGCCTTACACTGACCAACGGTTGCAGCATGCTTGATTTTCCTCGAGGTGTCTCTCTCTCTCTCTCTCTCTCTCTCTCTCTCTCTCTCTCTCTGTGTGTGTGTGTGTGTGTGTGTGTGTTTAATATCTGCAACTTATTTTAAAAGCACTCAGTCCTTTGGGAGCATTAATAAAGATCACTTGTTCCCTTCAAAAATTGCTAAGGCCCAGTTTAGGAGATTCACATGTGAAAAACCATGTAAGTGTTGGCACGGGGTATTTGAGATGATATTATTTGATGACAATTTATCATTGTCAGGGAGATACAGAGATGTATATCTTTAAAAAATCCATGAAATATGGAAGCAATTATCTTGTCAAGGCTGGAAAAGTTTTGTCAAATAATACAACCAAATATACAGTGAAATTTTGGAAAGTGATGGGAAAGAGTGAGACTAACATTGAGGCCAATGGTGTCATGGGTTTTGATACCTGAAACCTGTTTCCACAAGGCAGGGGAGTTCCTCTGTCTTTGCCTTCCAGATGTGTCCTGTGGAAACCCTGAGCCAGGCTGATGTTTAGGCTTGGCCCTTCTACCTGGTCCTACTAGTGAGTCCCTGCTAATTATTCAGACCAACAACAAAAGAACTAAATCAGAACACCTCCTATAAATTTCCCAGTGTGTTTTCTTTAACAGAAAAATGATTTTAAGAGCTGGAAGAAGTTATACAGCTTTTCTCTGTCTGCAACACACAGCAAAAACAGGGCTATACACTTCCAAAGAGCTGTCTTATGCTGTTGTTTCCTTCCTTCCTTCCTTCCTTCCTTCCTTCCTTCCTTCCTTCCTTTTTTTGTTTCTCAAGACTTTTGCAGTGCTAGTGGCTGGTGCTCAAACCCAGAGCAGTGTTCATACTAGGCAAGCATTGTGTCCCCAAACCAAAACGTCTTATGATAGTTTGTACTCACCACATGCTGGACTTTGAGTTAGGTTCTTGGGCTCCTGGGCTGACAGGTTGATATGGTGGGGCTTGGAACCAGTATGGAAGCAATTACAGGTCAATGTTATGAAGCACCACGATGTGGTGAGTCACGGTACTAACAAGTCGCCTGGAATCCAGCCCTGGAATGAGCCTGTTGGAGAAGGCTGCTGTGGCTTTTCTGCTTTTGGATGCCCTTGGCGTCCAGACTGCTTCAAGCTGGTGCCTATTACCTGGGAATGTGGATCCTAAGGCAATGGTGTAGTTCACTACAAGGGATGGGTGTGGGCTAGCTCGGAAAGGCACCCTAAAAGACTTGCTACCTACACCAAGTTCATTCCTCAGGGTCAATTAAAACTGAGCAAGCTGGAGTGAGAGGACAGGCACCCCAGGTGAGGTTCTGCAGGAAAAGGGACGGGGAGTGAATACGGTTGGGTAGGGGTACAGCCATTGAACAGGATGACATCATGAATTTGAGGAACAATTTGGTGATGAGGGCTATTGAGAGAGGGAGGAATCTCCAACTTCCTCTTCCCAAATGACTCTAGCTTGTGTCAAGTTGACAGAAAACTAACCACCACAGATACACAGAGAATGAAAGAAAATTCCTCCCTGTTGTATGAGAGTTTTCCTGGGGAGACACAGCACTCGTGTTCACTCACCCAAGAAATGGAACCCACAATGGATCAAAGTAGCAATTACAGTAGCAATGTCCATCTTGGTGAACCAATGAGTTTTCATTAGAGTTGCTAACAGGAGTTACAGGATCAGAAATGACACAAGGACAGCTGCATCACCTCAAGGACACAGTGACCCTCGTGTCACCCCTGAGCATACTGAACAGCATGCAGGCAGCATGAATGGTCTAGGTCTCTCTTCTCCACTCAGCTGGTCAGTCTCCTCCTGCAGCTGTGGCTATTTCCTCCTTTTATAATCCGGGGGGGTAGGGTGAGCTTCCAGAATCTTCCAAGTTTATGCTTTTTCATGCATGTAACCTTTTGTTTATCTCTTGAGTTTCATGTACCTCTTCGCCCCTCCTGGAGAGAATGTTTCCATTGCTAGGAAACTGCCTCATATTTCCTCACTAATTTACCAGCCCGTTGTCCATTCCATTTGTCCTTCAGATCTAGTTGAGGACACTAATGCTCCTCTGGTGCCTTTCTCTCACCACAGGATCTAATCATGCTGAAAATGTCTCCAAGGCCAATAACCAGCATTGCCAGTGTCTGTTAGTCAAGTTAAACTGCGCTCCACCGAGTCCTGTTGGTTGGGATTTATCAATGGACGAATAGCTTCCACTTGTCTTTTTCTTTAACAGTCTATCCTCGTGTCAAAAGTAAATGATAATGCTAAGACTCCGCCTACTTCAAATTCAGATTTAACATCCAAAGACTAGAATATTTTCTCTTCAAGATGCTGTACTTCAGCAGGACACAGTGAAAGGGTCATCTTCCTTACGTAACGACGTACAACCCACCTTACCATCTCCGGCTCATTTGAATCTAAAGTTCTCTAATGCTTTAGCACTTCTTTTTTCAGAATATATTCAAACTCTGGTAGATTGACCCAGGGCCTTCTGTCTTCTATCAGGATCACTGTTAAAGACTCAGCTTGTTCTCAGTTTAGCATCAATCCTCCAGTGCTTCCCGCCAGTTAACCACACTGTAACCTTGTCTTTAGGGCCTTATTTATTTATTTATTTGTTTGTTTGTTTGTTTGTTTGTTTGTTTATTGAGACAGTATTTTGTTATGTTCCCTCAGTTGATCTCAAACTTGGTCTCCCCCCACCCCTGCCTCAGCCCCCAAGTGCTGGCTTTGTAAAGGGTCATCACTATGCCTGGCAACTCCGCCTTAGCTTTTGATGTCTGTTGTCCCCCCTTATTGGTAACTCCGAGCCATTCAATGGAAGGTGAGCTCTTTGCTGAGCATATGGATGATTTTTTGCCTAGGGTATGCTTCACCAGATCTTCCTGGATCATAGGAGTGTGCCTGTGCTAGAAATCTGCTCATTCAGTCCCTCCCTCCCTCCCTCCCTCCCTCCCTCCCTTCCTCCCTTCCTCCCTTTCTTCCTCCATGTCCCTTCTCAGTGAGGTCATCTTCAATCACCTTGATACCTCACTCACTCACTCACTCACTCACTTCCTTCTTCAAACTTTGACCTCTTATTGTGTCTTCCTTTACAATACAAATTTCTTGATAAATTCCTGTGTGAGTGACCATGTTGAATTATTACTATACAGAACCTAGTATTTGTTGTATATCAATTTCTGAATACATATTAAATTATAAATGAATGAATGCCATGAAGGTGGTAGAAGAGTCATTGGTTAGGAGCCAGAGATTTGTATTTTAATGTTTACATATTCCTATAATAAGAGACTCTTGAAGATTTTCTCTCTGCCTCTCTGGTCATCAACAAAATGGGCATGTAATTTCTGTTCTACTAGTGGGGCTTATCCAAAGATTTTCTTTGTTTGGTTTTTGGAAACAGGATCTTTTCTAGGCCAGGTTTACCTCAAACTCACTATGTAGTTGAGGGTGACCTAGAATTGCCAGTCCCCAGCTTCCACCTTCTGGGTGCTGTGACTGACTGTAAGCCCATGTCTCTGTCTCTGGCTTCTATAATGCTGAAGATCAAATCCAGGGCACCATGTATGCTATGCAAGCATTCCACAGACTGAGATGCTCTGCCAACTCCTTATGCAAAGCTGTCTTAGACACCCTACCCTGGGCATATGAGAAGATGATTTACTGTCTTGCTTACATCTAGTGCAATGATCCTGGGACTTGTGGTCCCTTTGCTATAAGCCAATCCCACGAAAAGGTCTGAATATAGCGTAGGGGTAACAGGCTCTCCTTTCTGTGTTTCTTTGGGAATACTTTAGTGGATTCTTGGTGTATCACTTAGATCATGCATTTGAACTTGTGATAAGCTACTGAAAACTTGGAGAGTAGAATAGTAACCACTGCAAGAGTCTGGTGTCACACATATGTCTGGTGTTGTGTGTTGATTTGGTGTTCTGCACACATGAGTTCATCTCACCCCCCCACTGATACACAGTGAGGAGGATATGATGTCTCTTCAGAGATGAGGTAGAGTTGAGCATGGTGATGCATGCCTATAATCCCAGTCCATAGAGTCAGAGGCAGGAGGATAGCTTCAAGTTTGAGGCCAGCTGGGTTATCTAGTGACTAAGGCCCCTCCTAAAAACAATGAGAAACAAGTCAAGCAGAAACAAAAGACCTAGAGAAGCCAACACACCAAAAATCCAGCAACCACCAAAAGAGGCAGAACATGGAAAGAGCTCTTTGCCCTGACTCTGAGTTACTTAGCCTTGATAATGACTTTTTTACTCTGTGGATGGCATTTCTCATGCATGTGTTCCTTTTTTGTTTCAGACTGTTTATGACCAGTGGTTCATCACCCTTTTTAACATCGTTTACACATCACTACCTGTTTTAGCCATGGGGATTTTTGACCAGGTACGTGTTTTTAAATATATATATATATATATATATATATATATATATATATATATGTTGCTTACTTTCTCTGTTGAGTCTTTTGGCTATTACTATCTAGCTTTTGAGTGGAAGGCTGATTCATGGGATGATCCCTAGGAATACAGTTTTCAAAAGAAGTGTCCACATGGGTAACAAGTCTTTCCGGGACCCCTCCCCGGCCTGCTGCTTCTCCAAAAAAATTTTCCATCCAAGTTTGCCTTATCTGTTCTTAGGGATTCACATCTCGCAATATTGATGTAAGGTTCTGAGAAGTCATGCATGAATTCCTTTCTTTCATTTAAGTCCAGATTGTCTCAAATTTCTGTGATTGTATCTTTTTAAAAATATAGTATTTTAAATTAAATTTTTGAGACTTTCATAAACACATACAATGTATTATGATCATACTCACTGTTACCAACTCCTGCTCCTAAGTCTTCCCGGATCTACCCCAACACCCTCACTTCCCCACATTTTTTATCTCTTTTAATCATCCAAAGTGTCCAGTTTATGCACCCTATGTTTACATGGATCATGGTTGACCTACCAGAGGCCATATTCTTAAAAAAAATGACTGTCCCTCCCCTAGTAGTTATCAACTGCCATCATGAGCACCTCTCCTATCTAGGATGGAAGAGTGATTGGATTGATCTTGTACAGATCTTGTACAGGAAACCACAGCCACTGTGAGTTCATGAGTGCAGGGGCTATGCCATGTCCAAAAGTTGTCCATCCCCCTCCAGCCCTGACCTCTGGCTCTTGTATTATTTCTACCCCTCTTTGTGATGTTCACTGAGCTTTAGAGTGAGGGCATGCAATACAGATATCCCATTATGGCTGAGCACATTATAGATATTATTCTTTGTGCTTTGACCAGTTGAGTTTCTGTAGTAAACACCATCCATTTCACAAAGAAGCCTCTCATGAGGACTGGGAGCTGCATTAATCCATGGGTCAAGAAAGACATATTTAGAGGTCAATTGGATATTGTGTCCATTTATCAAAATAAAAGTAGTATGCTCACCCTTGGGGCTTGTGAGCATACTTGCCATGGGCTGTTAGACAGATTTACTGTATCAAACATGAGTTGTTTCCTGTGGCACAGGTTACTTTTATGACATAGGTGCTCCTGTTGCACACATTGATGTATCTTGCCAGGCTGACTGTTATTGTAGCTTAAAGGTTTCACAGCTGGATAAAACTTTTGATGACTTTTCTCCTTTGGTGCCCTGCATAGCACCTTCTGGAAATGTGAGAGCTAGCCTGCAGTGATGAACACAGTCAGGTGTGTGTCTTTGTGGTAGGATATAGGGTCCTTTGGATATATGCCCAAGATCCCATGGTAGATCTATTTGTAGCTTTCTGCAGTACCTCTCCACTGATTTCCATAGTGGTTGCACATGTTTGTGCTCCCACCAACAGTGAATTAGGGTTTCTGCTCCCCACATCCTCACCAGCATTTGCTACCACTTGTTTTCTCAATAGTAGCCACTGTAGTTGAGGTGATATGGAGTCTCAGAGTAGTTTTAATTTGCATTGTGGACTTACCTCTTGGGCTTCCATTTTTTTTTTATTAGTTCAAGTTAGGGAACAAGCTTGTTTCACATGTAAGTCCCTTCTCCCTCTCCCTCCCCTCACCTCCATCCCTCCTCCTCCACCCCCAACCTACCCCCCACCCCATCCACCTACCACTCCCCAGGCAGGGTTGGGCCTTCAACAGGGGCTCTGCAAAGTCCACCAAATCTTCCTGTGCTGGGCCCGGGCCCTTCTCCATGTGTCCAGGGACAGAGTGTATCCCTTCACGTGGGATGGGCTCTCAAAGTCCCTTCTTACACCAGGGAAAAATAATAATCCTCATTCCTCCCTCTCTTCAAGTAAATTCCAGATTTCAGCTCAGTGTATATCTGTGGATGTCTGTCTCTGCTTCCATCAGCCACTAGATGAGGACTCTAGGATAGCATAAAGAGAAGTCATCAATCTCATTTTAGGGGAAGGGCTTTTAGGTTATCCTCTCCACCATTGCCTGGATTGTCAGATCGTGTCACCCTTGTAGGTCTCTGGAGATCTCCCTAGTTCCAGATCTCTTCTCAGACCTATAGTGGCTCCCTCTGATATGTATCTCTCATCCTGCTCTCTCTCCTCTATTCTTCCCCCAACTCAATATTTCTGCTCCTTCATTTCCTCTCCTCTACTCCTCTTCTCTTGCTCTTATTGTGGTAGCTCCCTCTCCCCTACCCTCATGCTCCCAATTAGCTCAGGAGTTCATGCCACTTCCCATTCCTGGGGACCATTTATCCCTTAGAGTCCTTCATGTTTCCTAGTTTCTTTGGTGAAAAGGATTATAGGCTGGTAATCCTTTGCTCTATTTCTAAAATTCATATATGAGTGAGTACATACCATGTTTGCCTTTTTGTGACTGGGTTACCTCACTCAGGATGGTTTCTTCTAGTTCCATCCATTTTGGGCTTCCATTTTATTTCACTGATTAATGTGCTTGGTTTTTGTGCCAACACCATGCTGTTTTAACACCATGGCTCTGTAGTTTACGTTAAAATGAGGAGTGGTGATGTTTCTAGCAGTGTCTTTATTGTTCCAGATGGTCCTAGCTATCTTGAAGTCATTTGTGCTTCCATGTTAATTGTAATGTTTTCAGTTTCTGTGAAGAATTGCATTAGAATTTTGATGGGGCTGCCTTGAATCTTTAGTTTGCTTTGGCAGGATGGCCATTTTCACAATATTAAGTCTGCTGGTTCATAAGTATGAAAGGTCTGTCTATCTTCTGTGTCTTCTTCAGTTTCTTTCTTTGGTGTTTTACAGGTTCCCATTGTACAGGTCTTTCACTTTGTTATGCCACTATATTCCTATTTTTTTCTTTTTTTTCCATTAAATATTAGAGCACAGATTCTCTAGCTTTCTCCACCCCAATCAGGTCACGACGACCCTACAGTCTGTCAAATAGTTGACAAGACATTTCTGTGACTCTTAGAGCACACACACTTGCCAGGAAAAAAGCCCAGCTTTGCTCCTTTGCTGCCCAAGACAAAGGAAACTTTAAACTACAACGTCTGCCTCTCAAATAATGGGGGATGGAAATTCCTGCCATTCCTTGAGAGTCTAGAGGAGTAAAAGAAAATGTCATTTGTTCAGAAGACTTAATGGCTTCTCTTTTAGCTTCCCATCATGCTAGACATGGTGGCTGAATGAGGACATGACCACTCCAAGGTATGGTTGAGGGGATGGATTTTATTGTAGACATGAGGGAGAGAACAGCCAGAGGCACATGAAAGAGTCCAGGATGAACTGAGCCATGATAATGGGGGTGAGGGGCAGTGAGAGAGGAAGGGAAAGAGAGAGAGGAAAAGAGAGAGGCCAAGTGGACCAAGAGAGTGCATGGCCAAAGGCAAGTTTATATAGGAATGAGGAACTGTGGGAAGGGAAGCAAAGCCCTTGGGCTGGAGATTTTAAGGTAGGAGCAAGGTGAGAAGCTCTGGGAGGAGCCACAGGTACTGAGTTAACCTTGTTCTGGGTTTCTTTGGGACCTGTCAGTGGCTATATGTCCTAATGCTCCACACTTCAAGCTCTGCCATTTCCTCTCCCTGCATAGTTAACAAGGCTCTCTCTTCTAACAAACCTTATTCTGGAGGATTCTTCCCCTCAGGCCCATCTAGGAAAGGTGAATACACACAACCCCTCAGTTATGGAGAGAAAAGATCACAGACTTTTTTTAGTGTTTGAATGTGTGAGACAGGAGAATGGGGAGAAATCAATTATAAGAATTATAAGATTGGTGCTTCATGGCCTGCTCTGGTTAGGAGCGTACATCCTGGCAAAGAAGGAAGTCTGGCTGCCTGTGGGGAAGTAGAAGCCTAGCCAGTAGAGTTTCCATGGCACAATTAAAGTGTATTACTTTTAAAATGTTTTTTTTGAAGTATTTTTGAGACCAGATTTTCTCCAATCTGTTATTAGACCTGTTTACTAGACTTCGTTTTCTGGCCCAGAGGTATCTATTGCACAATGCACGTCTTCACACTGTGAGGTCACCCCCTTCTCCCATTCTTTCTACTTTGTAGCTGGTTCTGAGTCTCCTGTCCATATGTACAAAGGGCATTTGCACAAAGTACTGAACTTCAAAAGACCTTAGATGTAAAGGATTAAGCACAGGCTCTTCCAAGTGCTGGTGTTTACAAGTGTTTCTTTTCTTGGTGCTTTGTAGCTGCCCACAATGTGGAATCAAATAGTAAAAATAAAGCAGTTCTGGGAAAAAAAAAACAACAAAAAAACCCAAAAACAGTTATTGTGCAATTTGAAAAAAAGCAAAGCAAAACAGAATGAAACACAATAAGCCTCCTTATTGCCGTCTGTTCCTCTCCTTTCTTGGTTTGTCGGTGTTGGCCCTTACTTAAACTGATGGCAGAGTCATGCATGCTGGCTACAGAAGGCCACAGGATCATGTCTGATGTCACTCATTTTGTGAAAAGAAGCAAGCCCTGGGGGTTCTAGTCACTAACCGACCAGCCGATAAGTGGTGGAACTAAGCTCATCACAAGCTTACTTGAGTTTGGGCTGCTACATTTTAACCATCATTGTTATTTATTATCACCGTTGTTTTATCAATGTTTTGTGTTAGCATAGGTTATTGACTACTTAATTCTGGGCAAGGACTCTGCAGAAACATCTCTTAGTCATGCCAGTGGTTTTCTGTGTGGGAGGTATTACTGCTTGCATTTCTGCCGATGAAGAAACCAAGACTTGGGTTAAGTAACAAGACTACACACTGCCAAAACCTGTTACCAGGCCTTCAGCTGATTCCTGTGTGGTTTCAAAGTCTGTGACTATAACTATACCAGTCACCACACTAGAAGAAAGTACACTCATTTCCGACAGTTTCTTCAGGGAGGACTTCTTAAAGAGAACTTGCCAGGTTTCATGGAGCAGTTTGGGCCATTCTACAAGGATGAAGGGGAATTAGACTTCCCCTAGAATTTACCATCCATGGCTGCTCCTTCTCTACCTGTGGTCTTCAGTTTTTTTGATTTGTTTTTCAAGATAGAGTTTCTTTGTGTAGTCTTGGCTGTCCTGGAGCTAGCTCTGTGCACCAGGATGGTCTCCAATTTACAGAGATACATCTGCCTCTGCCTCCTGAGTTCTGCGATTAAAAGAATGCACCACCATCACCTGACTGGGCTTCTGTTTTTGTCCCATCTTCTATGATGACAATCCTTTGGTCCTGACACTTGGTTTTGATTCTCACAGTGTGGTTGTTGGCATCACTTTGCAGCTAGCCAGGAATGCAGAATCTGTTTCCTAGATTTATATGTCCATTAAGTTTTAGAGAAATCAGTTAGGTTTTTTCTAGAACTTAGTGGCTGATAAATATGGATTTTCCTATCCTGTCTGGTTCTGTTGTCCTCATCCCTTGGCATTTACTACTGAATTCTCACCAGGTAAAACACCAGATCCTAACTGTTTAGTCTCAGCCCCCTACCCACTTTGAACACCACATGGGATTCCCCCTTTTCTCATTGTTCCTGTCCATCTCATTCACAAATTTCCAATTCTGACTCCACAGCTCCCTGCAAATTATGTTAGCAATTTACTTCTGGTCCATTGCTATACATAATATGCTGGAATCCTGGAGCTTGAATCCTTCCAAGATGGCAGTAGCCACAGCAGCCTGTGGAGGATATAGCAAGGGCTCATTTGTAATCTGGTAGGGAGGTCCTTCTGGGAATAAAAACAAGATAGGGTCTTGTTCTAGCCCAGTGAGTAGTAGGTAACAGGGCATACAATGACCTTGGCTATTTCTGGGGATAGGGAATATATGGCCTTCTTGTCTCTTCTCTGAAATTATGCTCTGTTCACAGGATGTGAGTGACCAGAACAGTATGGACTGTCCTCAGCTCTATGAACCTGGACAACTGAATCTACTTTTTAACAAGCGTAGATTTTTCATCTGTGTGGCACATGGAATCTACACTTCACTAGCCCTTTTCTTCATTCCCTATGGGTCCTTTTACAACTTGGCTGGAGAAGACGGGCAACACATTGCTGACTATCAGTCCTTTGCAGTTACCATGGCCACATCTTTGGTCATTGTTGTCAGTGTACAGGTAATCCTTTTCTTTAAAGCGCCTCTGCCTTAGTGTGATATGTTTACATATGTTGAAGTTCACTGTTACGATAAATCTTTCTGCCAAAAGCCGCCTGAGCCCCACCGCCAGGTGTGAGCTTTACGCCAGCTGCCTGCCCTAGTTAGACCCAAATGAATACACAGAAACTTGTATTAGGTACAATGCTGCTTGGCCAATGACTAGGATTCTCATCTACTAGCTCAGTCTTAATTATCATAAACCTATATATTTTATAAGACTTATCTTACTGGACACCTTATTGGCGTCCCTCCTTGCCGGTGGATCACATTGTGCCACTGGAGCAGGAGCAGAGGGGAAAAGAGGGACCCTTCCTGTTTCTCCTTCTTTAAATATCCTTCCTGTTTCTCCTTCTTTACATATGAGTTTCCTTGCTATGTCACTTCCTGCCTGGATCACCACTTATCTACTACATTTCCCAGAATCCTCTTTGACTCCTAGTCCTAACTTGCTGTCTCATTGGCCAAACAGTATTTTATTCAATAATCAGTAAGATAAACATACGCAGTACATTCCCCATCAGTTCACTGTCAAGGTGTCAGGTAGGGAATAACTCTTAAGAGAGTACAAGGGATTCTTTTTGTTTGTGTGGAGGCATATGCATTTGTGTGTAGGTGCACTCACCTTTGTCCATGCACAAGCAGACCAGAGCCTGATATCGTATGTTGTCCCCAGTCACTTCTCTACCTTATTTTTGGGGACATGGCATCTCACCAAACCTGGAGCTCACCATTTTAGCTAGACTGGCTATTGGCTGAGCCCCTGCAACCTGCCATCTCTGCCCACCCAGCACTGAAGATACAGGCATGTGTTTCCATGCCTGGGGTTTTACATGGGTGTTAGGGATAAACTCAGATCCTTCTGAAAGTACAGCAATTGCTTCATACTCTGGGCCATTGCTCCAGCTCCAGGATTTTCTTTTTTTTAATTTTTATTTTGTTTTATTAGTTCAAATTAAGACCAAGCTTGCTTCAGATGTCAATCCCTTCTCCCTTTCCCTTCCCTCCCCCCCAACATCCCACCTGCCCCTAGTCATCCCCCCCTCCACTCCCCAGGCAGGGTAAGGCCCTCAAAAGAGGCTCCCCAAAGTCTACCACATCACAGGATTTTCTTTTTAATTGCACATTTTGAAATGAAATCAATAATCTTTAATAAATAATAAGATGTGGTAAATTTAGCATTAGGAGTTTATAACCTTCATGTTTGTATAAAGATAACAATCGCATATTTAGGTTGGGTGTTGTATATACAGTGAAATAATTAAGGCTTTCGAGGTATAGCTCAGTGATAGAGTGATTGTCTAGTGTGCTCAATGCCATGGGTTCAAGGCCCAGACTGAAAAAACTAGTGTAACAGAGCGATACATACCTGTTATCCCAGAACTAAGAGGTGTAGCAGGAGGACTGCTCAAGGCCAGACTACAGTGTGAGACCCTGCCTCAAAATAAAAAGTTGTACCACTATTCCCTTCTTATGTTTGGAGAAGAAGCATTTCCAAGAATAACAAAAGTTTCCTATAATTTCAGACTTAATAAGCCCCAGGTTCTAAAGTGAGAACTAGAACTTGTTTTGTAAGACATTTAAAAAAAATCACTCAAGAGGCTCAGTGCTCTATTCAAATGGCATATTAAGGAGACATCCTGACAGGGGAGTTCTTGGTGTTCTGAGCTGTGATCCAGTTTGTTTTCTGATGCAACTGAGTTAGATTTCACATAAACTTCTGGTCCATTAATACCTGCAGCACCAGACTGATGTGATGAGTGATACAACCTCTGTGCTATTTTATTTTTGTTGTTGTTGTTATTGAGCAAAGTGTTAAGAATCAGATGATCTCTTTGTCACAAGTTACAGTCATACATGACCATTTCTTGAATATTGAGTAAATGAGGGAGATGATAAAAGGAAATTTTCTCTCTTCTGATCCTATCATAAAAAGAGTTTGTCAGGGTGTGTCCAACCACTAGAAAAGAATAATTAAAACTAACTTGATTTTCCAGATTATATCTACAGTCTTCAGACACATCTATGGCCAGTTTTCAAAAGGCCTGAGACACAGTTCCCCATGCTGAGCCTAGGACAACAACAGATTCAGCCATGGGCTGTGGTCTCTCACGAGGTTCAGAAGTCTTCAAAAACAAGGCCCTGCAGGGGAGCCCCACACAGAAGTATGGCCATAAGTGCATGTAGAGTAAACTTGGAATGAGCAGAAAAGTACGGAGAAAATTAAAATTTATCCACAGCCCCACACTGTTGTTAACATGGCAAAAATAGTAGAAATCAATTTTGTGTGATTTTATAACTGTGTTTCCCACTTATCTTTGTCTCATGGGTATGCTTCTTTTTTCCTTTCTTTCCATATTTTATTTAAATTAGAAACAAGATTATTTTACATGTCAATCCCAATTCCCTCTGCCTCTTCTTCTCCCCTGCCCCCCCAATTAACACCCTACCTATCCCATACCCTGTCTGCTCCCTGGGGAGGGTGAGGCCTTCCATAGGGGAGCTTCAGAGTCTGTCATGTCCTTTGGGCCTAGGCCCACCCCCTTGTGTCTAGGCTCAGGGAATATCCCTCTATGTGGAATGGGCTCCCAAAGTCTATCCCTATGCTAGGGATAACTACTGATCTACTACAAAAGGCCTCATAGATTTCTGAGGTTTCCTCACTGACACCCATGTTCATGGGGTCTGGATCAGTCCCATGCTGGTTTTCCAGCTATCAGTCTGGGGACAAAAAGCTCTCCCTTATTCAGGTCAGCTGTTTCTGTGGGTTTCACCAGCCTGGTCTGGACCCCTTTGCTAATCACTCGTCCTTCTCTGCAACTGGATTCCAGTTCAGTTCAGTGATAAGTTGTGGGTGTCGGCTTCTACTTCCACCAGCTGCTGGATGAGGGCTATTAGGTGGCATATAAGTCAGTCATCAATCTCATTATCAGGGGATGGCATTTAAGGTAGCCTCTCCTCTGTTGCTTAGATTGTTAGTTGGTATCATCTTTGTAGATCTACAGACATTTCCTTAGTGCCTGATTTCTTTTTAAACCTAAGATGGTTCCCTGTATTATGGTATCTCTTATCTTGCTCTCCTCTGTTCTTCCCCCAACTCAAACTTCCTGCTCCCTCATGTCCTCCTCACCCCTCCTCTTCTTCCCTTCTCATTCTCCTAGCTCCCTCTCCCCTCCCCTCATGCTCCCAATTTGCTCAGGAGATCTTGCCTTTTCCCCTTCTCCGGGGGAACATGTCTGTCTTTCTTAGAGTCTTCCTAGTTTCCTAGCTTCTCTGGCGGTGTGGATTGTGGGCTGGTAATCCTTTGCTCTATGTCTAAAATCCATATATGAGTGAGTAAATACTCTGTTTGTCTTTTTGTGACTGGTCTCCCCCCCCCCCCCCCCCCCCCCCCCCCCGCCCCCCCCCCCCCCCCCCCACATTTTCTCTATCCATTCTTCAGTTGAGGGGCATCTAGGTTGCTTCCAGGTTAATGAGTATATATCTTGTTTTAGGATTATTCTCTGAAATGTCCTTTTCATGGCTACAATGCTTGAGCATATGAACATATCAACCAGGATACTATTAGATTGCTTCTATTTTCACTGTGAAAAACCGCAGCACAGTGGCAAACCTTCATATGCCAAATTCTCAATGTTTCTTGATTGCCTTAAAGTACACTATTTATTGGCATTTAATTTGTTTGCTTGTTTGAGACAGGGTCTCACTGTCTGGCCTGGAACTCACAATATAGACCTGGATGGCCTCAAACTCACAGAGATCTACCTGTCTCTGTCTCTCATGTTCTGGAATTAAAGGTGTGTACCACCATGCTCAGCCAGGTTGTATTCTTAAAGAGGGAATTCTAGGCCTAAGGATATATGAAAGTTTGATGTTCTTTTTAACTCATTGAAAAACATCTTCCCAATAGATTCCTTTTATCCAATGAGTGTAAAATACCCTTTTCAGCCAGGCCTACACAGGCAAGAGATCAACATTGTGAATTAATTCACAATGTTAAGTTCACAGCCTCTGGCTTCCTGGGAAATAATTGATATACATTGAAAAGTCTTTATTAAGTTCATGACTTAAACAAGAATAATTATTTTTTTTCTTTTGAAATAAATATAGATTTGCAGAAGAGTTGACCTTGTAGTGACAATACCTGTGTCTGCTCAACCTGACTTGTTAGGAACACACAGCCATGACAGTGCCTATGGAAATTAGGAGAAATTAACACGGATACAGTATAGTTACCTAAACTACAGGTGTGGCTAACCCTTCCCTAGCTTTTCTGTTAATAACTTTTCTCTATTCCAGCATCCAACAGGGTACCTCGCTGGCATGTCACCATAGTCTCTGAACTTGGCTCCTTCTTCATCTGTAATAACTTTGAAGAATAGTGGTCAGATAGTTTGTAAAATGTTCTGCAGTTTGCATTGTGTGTGAGGAGATAGGCTGTGGACTTCCAGAGAGAATCAGAGAGAGTTGTTTTGTTCTTCATGTTTCTTCTCTTAGAGCGCAGCCGCTCTGTACCCTGGAGCATCGTGTATATGCATCACATTCTCATTGTCTATCTGTCAGTTGATGGATAGCTAGGACGATTCCATTTCCAGCCTGACATGTTGTGTTATAGCATGCAGGGTCCAAGCACTGTGTAAGGCCATTGTCTCACCTAGCAATTTACATAGTACCTTCTGGCACTATGTAAACTAGCCAGCATGGAGGAAGTTTCCCAGTCAGTAAGAAATTGGTTTCTATATGTTCTGCAACCAAAGCATGTGGTGTTTTCAGCAGTAGGGTCCTACCTTACAGTAATGATGGACAACCAAGAGCAATGGTGATAGATAGCCTGTATTGTTTGGGAGGTGAGCTCAAAACAACAATAGGGAATATTCCATGCATGAAACTGAGATTTTTTGTTTGATAATTCATGTCTTTTGGGAACACTGTACCTTCATTCAAACTCCTTTTTATTTAAAATGCCCCCTTCTCCTTTATACCACATGTGTTCCCGTCTTCCTTTCATAAACAGTTTCTGGCTTTTTGATCTCTATGGACATCCTAAGTAAAACATACAAATTTAAAAATGCAAAGCTAGGATTCACATATGAAAAAGAGCAAACAATGCTTGTCTTTCTGGGTCTGGATTCTCATCAAATACAATATTTTCCAGTTATGTCCATTTTCCTACAAACTTTATAATTTCATTTTTCTTTATAAATGAATTAAATTGTGTCTTGTATATGTACCACATTTTCATTATCCATTTATCAGTTGATTGGCATCTAGGCTATTTCCATGCCCTAGCAATTGTGAATAGAGTAGCAATGGTCATAGAAGTACAGGTATACAGAGTCCTTTGGATGTCTGCCCAGGTGTAGTACAGCTGGATCAAAAAGCCTTAAGCTTTCTTGCATAACTACCACACTGATTTTCATGGTAGCTACACCAGTTTGCACTCCTACAAACACTAAATAAGGGCTTCCCTTTGCTTTCTTGACATTATCCATTTTACCATTTTAAACGGGGTGAGATGGAATCTCTAAGTAGTTTTAATTATCACCAAACATTTTACACTCATGTTCTAGATCTTTATTTATCCACCTCGGATGAAACATATTTGGGAATGTTTGTTTTGTTTTCTGTCTCTTAAGCTTTTTTCTTTTTATTGAAATAGGTATTTTTTCTCATATAATATATCCCGATTATGGTTTCCCTTCCTTCTATTCCTCCTACTTTCTCCCCACCATCTGGGTTCCCAACCCTCTGGCTCCACTCCTTTTCCATCTCTCATTAAGAAACAAACAGGCTTCTAAGAGATAATAGAAATCTTTTGATAGCAATTTAGAAAATCATTCTATTGTCTTATTTCTCATAAAAATAAAACCCTTAACATCCCACTTTCTAAGGCTGTTTCGACCTTGGCAGATGCAGTTGCCTCTATACCTAAGTTCTAGACACTAGTTTAGCACAAGTCTGTCTCCTGTGTGTGCAGAAGTGGATGTGTGAGCCATTGACCTGGTGATCTCAGAGCAGTTCTGGGGGCAAGCTTCTGTTTACAGTGACTCCTCTTTCGCATTTGACTGTATTTGCAGATAGCCTTGGACACCAGTTACTGGACTGTAGTTAATCATGTCTTCATCTGGGGCAGTGTTGCGACCTATTTCTTCATTTTACTGATCATGCACAGTAGAAGTGTCTTTGGAATCTTCCCACAACAGTTTCCCTTTGTTGGTAAGTGACCCTACCTGTCATGAGGACCTGTGTCATACTGAAAGTTGTTTGTCTTTGTAACTTATTTTTTTGTATGTGTATTGTGTGGGGCTAGAAATGGCCAGCAAAAAAAAAATATTTTTTCCTGGAATTGATTCATGTACCCGAAGCCTTCCAGATTTGAAAGGGGTTCCAAGAGACTTCCAAATGCAACTTAAAGGCTCAAAAAGCCCAGATGCACAATTGTCTGTGCCCTAGAAAACAAGGGCATACCATGTACATTGGGACAACTATACAGCCTGTGAAAAGTTCATTTGATATATAGAGAAAAGAGGAAGAAATACCCAATTCTCCTTATATCAGGTTACCACCAGCCTATCTATCAAAGTTCCCCTATAGACATTATCTGCTTTTAGATAAAAGGGAAATGTTGCATACACTATAGACCTCTGTAGATTTCTGAACATCTGTCCAGAAGTGGCCAGAAGAGATGGCTGAATAGATAATCAGACTTCAAACACTGTCTTCATCACTTAACAAATTGTGTGATGTTGAATGCATTTTCTTTCCTTTCCATGATTTAAAATTTATTTATGAACTGGTTATTGATTGTCCCCATTTCCAATAGAAAGAACTGAAGATCAAATGAGTTACTACATATAAAGCATGAGGATGTATTCTGGTTAAATAAATATTAACTCTGATGATAGTGTTTGTCTTAGGGTTTCTATTGCACCATGACCAAAAACAACTTGGGGGCCAGTAAACGGTTTATTTCATCTTACATGTGCTGATCACACAGTCCATCATAAAGAGAGGTCAGGGATGAGCTCAAGGCAGGAGCCTGAACACAGGAGGAGCTGATTCAGAGCTCATGGAGGAACACAATTTATTGGCTTGAGTTCCATGGCTTGTTCAATCTGATTTTCCCTTCCTTCCTTTTTCCTTCCTTCCTTCCTTCCTTCCTTCCTTCCTTCCTTCGTTCCTTCCTTCCGTTCCTTCCTTCCTTCCTTCCTTCCTTCGTTCCTTCCTTCCGTTCCTTCCTTCCTTCCTTCCTTCCTTCTTTCCTTCCTTCCTTCCTTCCTTCCTTCCTTTCTTTCTTTCTTTCTTTCTTTCTTTCTTCCTTTCTCTCTCTTTTTTCCTTCCTTTATTCCTTCCCTTTTTCCTTCCTTTCTTGTTTTCAAGACAGGGTTTCTCTGTGTAACAGCCCTGACTGTCCTGGAACTCTCTTTGTAGACCAGGATGGCCTTGAATTCACGGAGATCCACCTGTCTCTGTCTCCCAAGTGCTGGGATTAAAAAGGTATGCGCCACTGTGTCTGGTTCAATCTGATTTTTATAGCACCCAGGATGACTAGCCCAGAGGTGGTACCACTCACAATGGCCTGGGACCTTCCACATCAATCATTAATTTAGAAAATGTACAGACTTGCCTTCAGGTCTGATGAAGGCACTTTGTCAACTGAGAGGCCTTCTTCCCAAATGACTCTAGCTTATGCCATGTAGACATAAAACTAGCCAGAACAATATCATTATTCAAGAAATTGTGACTTGATGATTATGTTTGGGGGCATTGTGGGAGAATTTGAGTACCACTGAACCCCTAAAGTCCCGAGGTTGCATTATCCATTAAAGAGGACATATCCAGTGTTCCTGTGTTAAGGGTCATGCTTCAGAAAGACTCTGGAGAGATCACTTCCTCATACATAAGAACTATTAATGCACTTTCCAAGAAGTTTGGAATTCTCTAGTGCAGTTGAGTAAGTTAGGAACAGAGATTTTTGGAGTTCACCTCAATAAACTAGAAAGGAATGATGCACAAGTCTTGTGAGCTCAGGCAGCACAGCACTTGGAATCCATTCTCTGATTATCCCAGCCTAGAAAACAACTCTCCCAAGACTGATCTTGTGAGATCAAGTGTCACAGGATCACTTCTGAAGTGGGCCTCCTCACTGATGCTGGGGTTCCATTTCAGCGTTGGACACTGTTCTTCAGCTTGGTCCCTTCTCACAAGTACACTAACTTCTTCAGATCCTAGCAGGCTTGCTCAATATACCACGTTAATTCTTTGTTTACTGAAAGATTCCAATCATGTAGAGACATGTTGGTTAGCCATGAGAACAAGCCAGTGAGGAAAGGAAGACTCGAACTGTTCTTAAGTTCACTGTCTTTACTTTCATGTTACCAGATCTGAACTTGTAGTGCATCCTAAAGACCACTCTGTCATGTAAAATGGGACTGCTTCTCCTGGAGAATGGAGTTGGTGTGTGGACTAATCCATTTTAGTTAAGCACATGCCATCCCATGAATTAATTGTGGAAATCCAATGAAAGTTTACAAAAGTTAGATCAACATTGGGATTTTCAAAAGAAAAAAAAAGCTTTTTCCTTAGTAACTAGCAGCAAGGGGGTGTGGTTTTAATGGGGAGCTTGTTTTTTACAGCGTTGCCTATAGGTAATGAGCATCAAGGAGCTCAAAAAGACATCTAATTGATTGGATCAAGTTTGTTTTTGACCTTGGCTGACGGCAACTGGGGTCAGCTGCTCTCTGGTAGATAGATTTACTCTCTGAAGCCAGAAGAAGCAGGCATACCAATCAGTAGCCAAGCTCTCATACCCAAAGCCCATTGGAATGGTGGTAACATGGGCATACTGGGGTGAAGACCCAGCTGATTGAAGGTGGCATGGTAAATGCCTGGAAAATGAACTTGGACAGGGATGGTATCTTCCCATGGAGTCTGCCTGCCCACTCCTTGCTGCCTCGATTAGACAAACAACAAATATATGAAGAATGAGTATAAAGTTTGGAAGCTGGCTTCAGGATTGGCAGTGAGTTCCTCTGGCCTGCCATCTCTTATGTTGCGTAGCTGCATCAGTGGTCATGGGGAACTCTTTTCATCAACCCAGGAGCCTCCAGGATCTCCTTAGATCGTTAGCTTATAACCGAGGAAGCATCAAAGACATAGCAAGTTCCTTTTGAGGCAGCTTTTCTGGGCTGTTGTCTACAATTTCAAAGGTTAGCCTTGTGCTTCATACAGTGTATCCCAGTGACATAGACAATCAGTGAGGCTATTGTTTGAGAATGGGCCCAAATTCCAATAATTAATCAGAAACTCTAATCTGGTCATGGATTGTGAGGTTGAAGGAAGGAATTGAGCCAAGCTGGATGGAGCCTGGAAGAAAGGATGCCTGATCACGATAGCACCAGGGTTTCCCTAGGGTTTTATAATAGCAATAAAGATTTTTAAAATTTTATAGATTTATCAATTTAATTTATAATCACTACCTATAATTGTAAATTAATTTATGTAATTATAAAGATTTTATAACAATTCAGTGCTTTATGTCTATGTTTCTCTAATGGTAGGAAATGCATGGCACTCCCTGAGCCAGAAATTCGTCTGGCTTGTTGTTCTCTTGATATCAGTGGCTTCAGTCATGCCGGTGGTAACATTCAGATTTCTGAAGATGTGTTTATACCCAAGCCTAAGTGATCAGGTATGTTGCCATACTGTGAGCACTTGACAGATGGTTGGTGGCTCTCGTGAATGGTGTCCTTCTCTGTCTGAAAAGATGCACAGGGAATGACTCATGAAGTTCCCATAGGTTCACGGCACAATAGATGGTACTCTCACCTGCACACACTAGTGTACTAGTCCTGAATACCGGTGAGGAGAGGTGTATTAGGCTAAGTGTGGTCATGGAGTGATGAATTATAAGGATTTTTACCCATGACTCTGGAAAAGAAGTTCACTGGGATAATTTTGGAGTATTTCTTTAATAGAAGGGCAAGCTATAGGGAAAGTTAAGGGCACCACGCAAGAAATCCGAACAAGTCATATTCAGGGGTCTCATCGTTTGGGTGGAAATAGAATATCAGCTTTGGAAATAAGTGAGCGATGTTACCTGTTGAGCAGATTTTACAAAGGAATAGCAGCATGACGAGTGGACTGGGAATACAAAGCTAGAAGAAGAACAGAAAGAACATGGTATAGAAAGTAGCCAAGACCAGAAATTAGAATAGATCTCAGTGGCTCATGGGTAAAAGACTACAAATAAAGCAATACTGGGCTAGGATGTGACTCAGGACAGAGAGAAGAGGAGGAAGGGGAGACATGTTGCTATCATCCCACAAGGAAAGATAACATATCTCTGGAAGGAGTAGGGCCTGATCAGTGATGTTGAGGGCTCCAACATGGCCTTTTCTTACTGTGATGTCCCTTACATTCTGGGGGCAAAGTATGAAGTGATTGACGGAGTCTTTTTGTCTGTCCTTTCATGTTGGTTCTGAACTGCATCCAACCCAGAAATTGATGGACAGTTTGAAGATGCTTATTTTTCTTGTGTTAAAGATGATTTTCATGATTTGCTTACAAAGTGTCTTTAGACCTGAAAGTTAAAATCAAATACTTATGCAAAACTTCTGGTCATTTTCTCTACTCACCTATGCAGGGAGAGGGAAGATATGTTGGAAACCCACCCGAATGATGTTAGTTCTTAAAACTTTTTTTGAAACTTCATATGAGCCCTGCATCTAGATCATTCTTTCCCCCTCTTCCAATTCTGTATGTACTCCCCTTCCAGAATTCATAATTTCTTCTTCTGTTATTGTGCTGAGTCTGTTTACTGTTGCCTGTCCATACATGTGTAGACACTGTGCATACATGTCTAGGGATGACGACTTGAGACTGGACAACCCATACTGAAGCTTGTCCCTGGAGAGAACAGATTCTTCCTTTCCCAGTAGCCACTGACCATCTGTAGCTCTTCATCTGGGATATGACTTTGTAAAATTTGCAGACAAGTTTAATTCTTGCCCCTCATCGAGGAAGCTTCTCTGCAGCAGGCAGAGACTACTGCAGAGAGCCACACTTGTCAAAATGCAGAGACTAAGTTTGAAGCAACATCTGCAACACAGCCCCACACCTAAGGCTCAGGAAACACTGCCAAAGAGGGGCAGAAAGAGCTAGAGGTGAAGACAGAGTTTCTTTCCAGGCAGATCCTGCAGCCATTTAGTCCCAAGTAAACACACAGAAGCTTATAATAATTATAAACTGTTTGGTCGATGGCTTAGGCTTCTTATTGGCTATTTCTTTCTTAATTATTAACCCATTTCTATTAAACTATGTATTGCCATGAGGCTGTGACTTACCTGTAATTCTCTGACATGCTACTCCTTCAGCAGCTTCATGGCTCTCTATCTCTGTCTTCCTCTTGTCAGCATTCTTAGTCTGGTAGCCCAGCCTATACTTCCTGCCTGGCTACTGACCAATCAGCATTTATTCACCAACCAATAAGAGAAACATATATTCACAGCATGCAGAAGGACATCTCCCATCATAGAGGAACACATTCTTGCTGCTAGAAAGTGCCCTGATACCTGACAGAGTAAATCCACCCATCAACTTGCAACAATATGTTTACTTCTTTAAAAGTCCACACAATCCACCCATCCATGTTCTTGCATCACACATACACATGTTCACACACATAAGAGTACACACACACACACACACACACACACACACGCACGCACGCACGCACGCACGCACGCACGCACACAACCAAAAACCGAATATATAAAAACCCCGAAAATCTCATGATAAGTTGACCTTCTATAAGAGGGGAAATTCTGACTCCAATTTTGCAAATTCTCTCTGAATACAGTTATTAGTAACTGCAGAATCCAGACAGACTCTAAAAGAGAAAAGGGGGAAAGACTATGGCTATTGGGACTTTAGACATCATATTTCTGTACAAAAGTTTGCTCAAGTCCCTGGGCTTCGTTCTAAGCACTGCTATTTAAGCAAAGCAAAAACCTCCTGGAAATTCACCATAAGGCCAACGAAATGGAGACAGTAATGAAATTCATTGAAATATTTCTCATTTACATGAGAATTTCTTGATAGGAATAAAGAAACTGATTAGTGTCTAGTGTGATCTTTGGGTAGAGAATGTCATGGCTTTTACGCTTGAAGTTTCCTTTTGTAGAGAAGGTAAATATTTTCTTGTAGCAGATACTCAGGTAAATTTACTCAGTGGTTGAATGGAGTCTAATGCTTGGGTTCATCATCTCACTGTGGCTCTCCTCCTCCCCAGATCCGCCGGTGGCAGAAGGCTCAGAGAAAGGAAAGGCCCATACGAAACCGTAGGCCTCAGTCCCGCAGCTCAAGCTCCAGAAGATCTGGGTACGCGTTTGCTCACCAAGAGGGCTATGGAGAGCTCATCACATCTGGAAAAAATATGCGAGCTGAAAGTCCAGCCCCAACATCAGGGCTGGAAAAGATGCTTTATAATAACACGAGCTGGATTGAAAATTTATGTAAGAAAACCACAGACGTGGTGAGCTTTAATCACGATAAGACAGCGAAACTGTGAGTCAAGATGGACTTGAACCACAAGGCTTTCTTTTCGCTTCATCTGGGGCTGAGCTTCAGCTGCTCAGGGGCCAAGAGCAGGGCAGATCACCTTGCTTAACTTAAATCTGTGACCTCCAGCTGCCAATGCCTGTTACATACTAGTGTGTTCTGCAGGAAACGGGGCCAGATGGACATCATCCAGTTTGTGATTCTGTGGACCAAGCCCTCCCTCATGGGGCAAGCACAGAGTTTTATTAACTTAAACACCAGTTGATCTGAACTTTGAATCTTATTTATGGAAAAAAGCTTGTAAATTAGCATCTACACTGGATGGGTCCTGGGTATGTAAAGGGTACATTCCAGTGGTGTGTCTGAACCAGAAAACCCATGTCTACAGATACACCATGTATGTGAAGAGCTAGCTGCCTTCCCCAAATGCAACTGCAGAATTTAAAGCATGCAGTATGGTGCTCTCACATTGAGAGTCAGTCTACTTCTAGTTGTGACTTCTATTTGCCAATCTATCCCAGACAACAAACCATTACATGCCTAAAGAATACATAAAATATGCCTGTGGGATTCCCTGTTTTACAAACCAGTCCAGGGACAAAAGAGACTGAATATCTTTGCAGAGGGGCTGCTAATGTGGCCAGGTTTATTCAGAAAGTGTTCTATCTGTTCTATGTAAGGATAAATACTAGTAAGTCTCCTAATGTTTCAGTGACTTGTATGACAACATCAGTAGCAATCTTCTGCACATTATACAAACTATGGAAAGAACCATCAGGGTGGAGGAACACCACACTTTGTTGATAGTGTTCCATACAGTCCAAGGCAAAGGCTGCCGGCAGACCCCATTTTATAAACATGAGAATCCAAAGGAAGTGAGTTAATAGAAAAATCGATACTTTTATTATTTACTCAGGTTAAGGTCATGGAGACTCGATTCCTTTTTAGTGCCCAACTGTTGTATTTATAACTCAAACATCTAATGTAGATGATTTTTAAAATTGACATTACAGCCCAATTTGGGGATCTCTGGGTGAGCCACAATTTTCTTTCCTTTAAAAGGCTCTGTGTTGAAATTGCTGCTCTGCCACCTCTCACCTCTGTGATGGGCAGGTAATGTGCTGATGTGCCCTTCCTGAGACTCAGTTTCCTCATCTACAAAAAAACGAGGATGTACTACCTACCTCATGTGGTTGATGACCATCAAGCACAAGTTCTCAAACCATTAGAAACCCAATTCTCATATGAATGTGTGAGTTAGGTTTCAGCTAACTCATCAGAACAGCAGAGCAATGGGAAGAGACCGTAGGACCTGGCCTGTCAGTCATGAGTGGGATGACCTCAAGGAAATGAGGTTGCAAAGTATGATAGGAAGCAAGTAAAACTATACCAAAGCCCGGGGAGTAGATTTATCTGCAAGGAAATGAAATAAAGCATCGGTCTTACTAGTTTTCCAAAGTCAGCCTTTAGTTTTCTAGGCTCTTTCCTCTGGTCCCTACTCAATTGCCCATCAAACAAAACTGCTTTCTACAAAGAACTTGCTAATCCTTATGTGGCCTTGCTGGATGGTGGGCTAAGGTGATATTAATAGGTCGGTGTCCCATGCTCAATTAGTCTTTGTTTCTAAGGGTAATTTTTTCTGAATGGTACTTACTGAGACAATCTGTATGCAGGAGCCTAATACCTAGAGCCTAAACCAATAGCAAATGTTATCCCTTTTTCTTATACATATCTATGTTACATAAATTAAGATTTTCATGTCAAATGATCAGCTTAGTGTGCTTGCTTATGTTTTATAGCAATTTTGGAAACTTTCAGTAAACATTTTGCCACTCTTGGTGCTCAGTGTTTTGTTTCTTCATTATTGGGAACTCCCTGGGAAAAATTTTGTTTCATTGTTCTATTTCTCTCCCTTGTGTTTTTCTCTCCCTTCCTCCCGTCCTCCTTTCCCTCCTCTCCTCTTCTCAGTCCTTACCCTTTCTTCCTCTTTTAGATGCTTGGGGAAAATGCACATCCTTTTTAGCATTAGAGTCAAGAATTGGATGAACCAACTGGATTCACCTATAATATAGAAATGGTCATTTTGGCAAGTTCAGTTCAAATTTTTTTTGTGTGTGTTTTTTTTTCAAGACAGAGTTTCTTTGTATTGCTTTGGAAGATGTCCTGGAACTCACTCTGTAGACCAGGCTGGCCTTGAACTCACAGAGATCCACCTGCCTCTGCCCCCTTCCTAGTGCTGGGATTAAAGGTGTGGGCCACCAACACCTGGCAGAATCAGTTCAAATTTTAAAAGGCCATTTATAAGCAGGTAGTTCAGAGGATTGTGGGAGAAACTTTTTATTAGTTTACTTTGGTCCTATGCAAATCAAGTAAACTTACACAGCTCACAGGAAGATACTGAACCATATGGAATAATTTTGAACCTGAGGATGAAAGTTTGTGGGGCTGGTGGTGATATAAGTAAAATAAATAAAATTTCAATTTTACATAAATGTGAGAGATTATTTAGGAAGTCTCCCTTTTAAAAATGTAATTAGACCTTAAGTTGTGCTGATCTTGACTTTCAAAACCTCAGGCCAAGTTTGAAATATTACAGGCAGGGGCTACTTGCATTTCCCTGAGTAGGTGTGCAATCTTTGATGCTTTCAGGGACAAACACAGAGAGAGGAAAGGTGAGAGAGATGACAGATGACGGAACAAGTAAAGGGAGAAAGAATGCAGAAAGGAAAAGCCACAAGGTGGGAGGAGGGATAAGCATTCTTGGTTCTATGTCTCTTGAGATGATATGATTCTGCAAAGCTAATATAATCTGTCTCTTGAAGGAAAAGAACCCATGGATCAGAGGTTTGAATAACAAAATTTCTTTACATCCTGTGTGTGCTCATGAAACAAACAAACAAACAAACAAAAACTTTTTGGAACAAAGCCGGGAATTCTGGCTTCTCCTATCAGCAATGCCTTGGCTTGTGTGGCTAAGGCTTGAAGCTGACTGCGGTGGGGCTTTGCATCTCCATCCATCACCTGGGAATCTGGGAAGGTTGGTCTCCAAGGCCCTTTCTCATTTGCCCAATCTGTGACCTGCTCTGGTCCTCTGCACTGCTCTGTGCAATTGGCTTTGATTGTTAAGAGCAAGGGGAGGAAAAAGAGGAAGGGGGGGGGCAAGGGGAATCAAACTGGATGCTCTCTTGAGGACTGGCCTATTTCTCTTTTTTTAATTTAAATTAGAAACAAGCTTGTTTTACATGTAAATCCCAGTTCCTTCTCCCTCCCCTCCCCCCCAACCCCCTGTCCCATCCCCTTTCTGCTCCTCAGGGAGGGTGAGGCCTTCCATGGGGATCTTCAAAATCTGTCATATCATTTGGAGCAGGGCCTACAACCCCCTACACTCCCCGAGAGAGCATCCCTCTATGTGGAGTGGGCTCCCAAAGTTCATTCATGTACTAGAGATAAATACTGATACACTGCCAGAGGCCCCATAGATTAACCAGACCTCCAAACTGACCTCATTCAGGGGTCTGGAACAGTTCTATGCTGGTTTCCCAGCTATTAGTCTGGGGTCCATGAGCTCCCCTTTGTTCAGGTCAGCTGTTTCTGTGGGTTTCTCCAGAGACAGGCCTATCTCTTGTACTGTTTGTGTTCATCTAGAGTCCCTGTCTTGGGGGTCCTGACAGAGGCACTTCTCCCAGGTTTTGCTGGAGACATATCCCTCTCACCTTCCTTTTCTTGCTACTATTTTAATATCAAACATATGCAGATCAGAAGGTTAGATCCTCCCACCAAGTGAGGGAAAGGTCATTTAAATGTATCTCTGCTTTGTCTGGAGTCAGGTTGAAAAACTGTGCCCAATTGACATTCTTCATGGTCATGGAGCATTGGGCAGTTTGTGCATGACTTCAGACTGTATTTTCTGGACCATACAGACTGTAGTGTTCAGCACATTCATGCTCAGCCTGTTTTTTTTTTTTTTTCAAATTAAGGCATGGTGAGATGAAGTGCCGAATTTTGATATTTTACAGAAAGGTCTGCTCTCCAGTCAGACACAAGATCAAACACACAAGAGAAACAGACATGTCTTAAATAATTAAAAAAATCATTAGAAAAGATAAATCAGAAAGCCTTACTATTTTATCAAGTAAGTTGCATCACTCTGTAAGTACCTGATCAAAATCCCTAAGACTGACTAAATTGGTAATATTGTTAACTATGTCTTGAAATGATTTTGTATCAATAAATAGAGGATTAAGGAAGACTCTAGAAGTGGTGACTTGCAGACTTTAATGGGCTTTTGTAGGACATGAGTAAGATAACCATGAAGAACTGTGATTTCCAGTTTTGTACTAACATCTGGTATTAGAGGTCTGCAGTTCACCCTACTGCATCATATCCTGATTCCTCACAAGGAAATCACAGACTTTTGCAATTCGCTAAGCTAAGCCTTCTGTGGAGCTGTCGGGAAGCCAGCAATACATTGCCCTTGTATTTCAAAGTGCTCCTTGTGACAGACTTGGAGCTGGCTGGGGGAATCTCTGGGTTTACAGTTACAACTTAACCAGTAAAGGGACTTATCTGTCCTGAAATTTCAAAACTCCCTGGAAGATCTATCCTAAAATTGATGCAAAATGTAAACCAGCTTTGAGATGCAGGCATAAATGCCCAGAGTTCAAAAAACCAACGGGTTGGTTAGACGTCTCTGGATATCTCAATTTGGTCTCTATAAATCTCAAAGACAAGTTCAAATTTGTAATGAATTGCAGCTCTGGAAACATGCATAAACATCTTATTGGGGCAGCAGGTAGGGTGAAAAGGGCCAAGGAAAACATCCTGATCCTGACTTGGGAACAGGGATTAAAATCCCACCAATCACTGAAGTTCCTGAGCACAAAACCCCACCAATCCCTCAGCATGAAATTCCACCAATCTCTGAGCTCTCTGAGCACTAAATCCCACCAATCCCTGAGCGCAAAAATCCACCAGTCCTAAGCCACCCTGGAAAGCTCTGCCTCCCTCCCCCTCTCCCCTCACCGTCATCTAGGAACTCCATATAAGCACTGTAACTGTTCAGTTTGCTGATGTCTCAGCCTCGAGACAGCCACCCTTCTGGATTCTTCCCTACCAATAAATCTCTTGATTGAGGTTTTGGTGACAACCTTCTTTTGCAGGAACTGAGCAGAATGGAGCAGAACTGTAAGAACTGTTTCCCTGGGGAAACCTTCCCCTAGCCCCTAGCTGAGCAGAGCTATGACACTTTTGCTAGGGAAACCCCAGTGGGGATGGGGGTGGGGGCACAGAACCTTTCCCTGGAGCAGAGCTGTAAGCTGCTATACTTACAGTGACTTTGTGGTATTCCTTGATTCCTTGGCTCCCAACTGCCAGGATACCTTTCTATGTGAGGTGCAAAGCTTACACATCAAACATGTGGTTAACTTAATTTGGAACTAAAATAATAATCAATTTGGTTGTTCTCACCTTGTCACATGTTTTCCCATACTCCCTGTGTTCAAGGCAAACATTAATGGTGAAGTTTGGTGGTTTCATTCTGGCTCCTGTTCTGGTCATCTCTGTGTAGTAAGCCGAGTTGCATAGGTATTTAAACACAACACAGAACATAAACCATGGGCAGAATTTAAATTTGCACAATGAGAACTGATGAAAGGCACCAAGATCAAAATGAAAGTTCAATTCAATGGAAATAGTTAAATATACAGAAATATGCAAAAAGAATTCTATAACATTTTTATTGCTACTGATTAGTAGAGGAAGTACTGCTTTGGGGAGCCAACCAGAGATGACTGCTCTGTTACAGTTTAGAGACAATTGAAAGTTTTTATTCCTGCTAGCTGATACTACACTCAAGTTTTCAGAGCCAGAGCATGGGATTTTCGGAGGCAAAAACCACATCCTGGCATCTTGCATGGCAGCTGCAGCGGAGGTCCACAGAAGCAAGCAGTTTAACAGAAACTGGGGTAGGTGGTGAGCTGGAGGGGGTTCTGTACAAGCCGGCAGTTTCACAGAAGCTAATGTAAGCCAATGGCTGGAGGGGCTTTCAAACAAGCAAGCAGTTTAACAGAAGCTACAATCAATAACCTGGGGCATTCTGACCTTGGGCTCCTAGAATAGAGCTGGGTAATTTTCCATGGGATTCTCCATCAAGGAGGTAAAATTCTAGCCCACCCTGAAATGACCTCAGCCAGAATACAGATGGAAGAACCTTTGCACTGTCTTGCCCTGTCACAATACAATAGGAAGTAAATTTGAATAGCAATTCTCAATAGAAAATAATTGGTGATTTGAAATATCTCACAAATATAGTCAGATGCTAATCTCATCAATCAGAGGCTTTTAGGTTTTAAGTATAGGATAGAAAACATTAAATGAAATTAATTACAGAGTAATTCTGTTATTAAAAGCAATCTTTTCCCTCATATAGGCCCCTGCCTGATTTCCTGAAGTCTACACTCCCTCACTCCCACATAGATACATATACACAAAAGATTAGGAGCTCAGATCCCTACATGAGAGAGAACATGTGCTGTTTGCCTTTCTGAGCCTGGGTGACATCACTTAATATAATACTTTCCAGCTCTGTCAATTTTTCCGCAAACTACATAATTTTATTTTTCCTCACAGCAGAATAAAATTCCATTGTGTGTAGGTACCACATTTCCATTCTCCACTAATCTGTAGATGAATGCCTTGCTGTTGTTAAGAGAGCAGCAATAGGACAGGGATGAGCAAGGATCTCTTTTTGCTTTGATGAACTGAGGTCTTTTGTAGCCCCAAATGAATTTTAAAATCATTTGTTCTATGACCGTCAAGATGAAACTCATATTGTGA